TGGTTGGGTTGGTTGGTTGGGTTGGTGGTTGGTTAGGTTAGGTGGTAGGTAGGTAGGTAGGTAGGTAGTAGGAGTAGAGAGAGAGAGAGAGAGAGAGAGAGAGAGAGAGAGGATTTATGTGTTGTTTTGTTGGTGTTCTTTTTTGATACAAATAGGATTCATTTTTATTCTTCTTTCCTTAAAGGACAATCATTTTAAAAAGAAAATCTGAAACTGTGATTTGTTTATAACAAAAAAGTGATGCCCATGTTTTACCTATTTCTTCCAGTATCATTAGTGTTTTAGCACATTATTTGACCTGTATATATATTTTTTGAATGCTAATAGTACTACATTTCATTACTAGTATCAAATTAAACTACAGGATAAGAATCCATCCTACACAAAAAATGAGTCTATGTACAGTCAAATCTAAAAAAGAAAGAAATAATGAAATAAGAGGCCCGGTTTGGTCTACTTCTTTTGCAGCCAAGTCAGCGTCTGAATCCGTTTCAGAGAGAGAGAGAGAGAGAGAGAGTTCCCCAGGGATGATGGGAGGCTCATGTTATGGGAGGCCAGGTGGCCAAAACCAAGATGACCTATATAGAAAAAACATTTATGGTCATAAAGAGTGATCTGTGCATTTTGTTTGTTCAGGTCCGGTATGCCCCACAACTACCTTTAGTTTTGAGAGGCATTACATGTACATTTCCTGGAGGGTTGAAGACTGGGATAGTTGGTAGGACTGGCAGTGGAAAATCCACTCTCATTCAAGTCCTCTTCAGGATCGTGGATCCTGTCGGAGGCCAAATTCTCATTGATGGCATTGACATCTTCAGTATAGGACTCCATGACCTGCGTTCCAGACTAAGCATCATTCCTCAAGATCCCACCATGTTTGAAGGCACCATCAGAAGTAACCTCGACCCCTTAGAAGAGTACTCTGATGATGAGATATGGGCGGTGAGTTGTTCAATCCGTGCTTAGTACATATAATTTTGCTTGACCTTGCTTTTTGGTTTTCATGCAAAAATAAGTTTGTTGGGCAACTATTACCTGATTCAGGCTCTAGACAAATGCCAGCTTGGAGAAGGAGTCAAGCAAAAGGACATGAAATTGGAATCCATCGGTGCGTTTTGTTTTTCTTTGTTTTGTTGTCTTCATCCCTCTCTGTTACATGTCAGTTCTTTGCACACACACACAAACACAGAGGGTAATGTTCTTATACTAGCAACCTTCAGAATATGAGGACATCTTTGTGAAGTTTAGCTTCTAATGATTTTTACATACGTAATTTGCAGTGTCAGAGAATGGAGAGAACTGGAGTGTGGGTCAAAGGCAGTTGCTGTGCTTAGGGAGAGTGCTTCTGAAGAAGAGTAAAGTGTTGGTGTTGGATGAAGCAACTGCCGCGGTTGACACCACAACTGACAGCCTTATCCAGCAAACCATCAGGAAACACTTCTCTGATTGTACTGTTATCACCATAGCCCATCGTACTGCAACTGTTCTTGATAGTGACATGGTCTTGCTGCTTGACAATGGTCAGTATATATATAAAATCCATCGCATTGTATCCCAGAGTCGTCTTCTTTTTAATGCTTATTCTAATTCATTGTTTTTGAGCAGGCATTGTGGCTGAATTTGATTCTCCATCCGTGTTGTTAGAAAACAAGCTGTCCTCTTTTTCTAAACTTGTGGCAGAGTACACCATGAGATCGAGCACTTGTTCGGAAAAATGATGCATCTGTATCGCGACTATGATATGATGATGACGATGATGCAATTCGAAGTTATTGGATGCACCCTGTAAGAAGTGTGCAATAGAGGAAGGTGTGAACTCAAGCACCCTTCTGGCGTCTGAGACGAACCAACAGTGCTAATCCTGGTGGTCTTTAAATACTTGTTTTGCCATTTTGAAAGGCAAGAAGAGTTTTTTGGTGTATAATGAAGTGTTTCATTGCTTAGTCATATGTTTGAGAGAGCTCGTACACTTGGGTATTCTAAAGGATGTTTCAAAGTAGCTGCCTCTGACCCACACTCCAGTATGGCTAAGTGGAAGTTTTTAGTCTTTTAGGGTCTAGATACAAACCTCTCTATGGGTTTATGAGTGTGAATTTCAGGTAGCATTTAGCACCATGGGGACTTGGAAGAGAGTTGGGGATTTTGGGTACTTGGAGTGCGCATAGCTCACTCACATGGCGGTTAATCCCTCAAAGGCCTTACATAGAGACCTGACGTTTGACCATGGTTAGATGACTTCTCACTGCATTTAACAAAGAATCTCTTTATTAATACCCCTATTTGAGACTGAAATTTGGTTAACATAAAACAATGTTTTCTTCAAATATTACCCAAAGTGAATATGGAAGGTCTGTGTGCGTTGATGATTTTAGGAGGCTTCGTTTGAGCATGCAACTTAGAGAAGATTTTACAGTGCTCCGTTTGGCTTGGTTGTATAATGGAGCATTGGGAACTCATTGCATTTTGGAATTTTTAACCCTTTGATGACCACTGGAGCATTTTATACCTCTAGGTCAATTTTTGAAGAAAATGGTCTATATAGTTTCCGCAACATTGAAGTTTTTGCCTTGTTTGGAATCCTACATTCTTTTCAAAAAGTTTGAGCAAAAGGCTTTGTTTTGAAACTTAGGTTTTACGATGGGGAAGGGCCAGCATACACTTCTCTGATTCAGCTCTGTGCAAAACTTTTGATTATGGCTAAGAACAATTTCCCATTTTGGCTGTGGTTAAGGAACGCAAATTTAACAGCTGTTTTTGTTTGTTTTTTTGTTTGTTTGTTTTGTGTTTGTTTGAAACTGTAAACCTTGTATTATGCTTAAGAGTATATAGTATACAAAAACTGCCCAACTCGGGCGCAATTTTAACCACCGTTAAGGACTGGTTCCTGGTTTGGCTCTTGAAGCCAAGAGTCAGAACTTACGCAAAAAATCGATGAACCTGGATAAAACCATTACAGTAGATGTCAAAAGCTTATTGAAACACGAAATGGCCTCTCGGAAGAGTCGATTGTTTGTCTCTCTAGTGGATGCAGTCCGTAAGGAAGGACCATCAGTGAGGGCGAACCATGTCAATTCTTGTATGTCCGGGTGAGCCACACTCTTGTTTGCCCCATACTTGCTTTGTTATGTTTTTGTTTTCACTTCTTCAAGCACACATCAACAAAGTGTTTGATATTTGGCCCAAAGGACTCCATTGCCCACATCCGCATTAATGTGAGTGGTTTGGTTATAAGCCTATCATTAGCAATACCTCTTGGTCTTTTCAAACCGGCGTGGGGAGCCTAGCAATCATTGCATCATCTATCTTCAAAAATCTAAGATTATTGGACCATATGGAGAAAATCTTTGAAAAGTTTCATCCTATGTAGGACCTAGTGTTTTAAATTTTTTTGGTTTGGACCAAGGACACCTTGTTTGAACCGAAACTGGCGGTGGGGTGATCAATCTCTAAGGAAGCCTGGGGTTGCCCAATTTCCCCAGGTTTTTAATGAATTGTAATTTATGCATCAATATTGGGAATTGTCGATTCAAATCTGTTGAATTGAGAATTGGTCCCTCATGATTCCCAGCATGGATTTTCATAGCATTGGTTGGAGTTAATTGGGACAGTGGTGACAAACTCTGTGAGACTTTAACTTCTATGTGGGATCCACTACGACGAATGATAATACCCAATCATCAATGGCCATTGCTCATCGATGCACTCTCCTACTTTTCTTCTCCGTTTGCTGACCAACCAAGGAAAGCAACCATTGGAGTACCAAGTATTGCAATAAAGCACTATATCGTTTTAAATTCTTCCACGTCCCCTTTTGTGACATCTAAACCTCCGAATGTTTCAGTGAAGACGTTCTCGAACCCAGCTTGGGCCAAAGACTTGCCCCCGTATGGGGCAAACGTTCTTAAAATTTTTAAAAAGGGGAAAATAATTTGTAACCCTTGGACCATAGGCATTGCCCTCGATACTTTTTAAATTATACAACTAATCAAATTACCTTTATTTATATATATATATATAGCAATCCCAACTCCACAAATAGATCACCCAGCCTAGGGCGCCAGTAACTAGACCCAGCTAACCAAGGTCGATCCTAGAGATCTAGCCACCATAGTAGGCCACGGGGTCCTTCTTTATCATCCATAAGCAACCATCCAGTTTTGCAAGCTTTCTTGCGAAACTTGGTTAGTCAAGGTCAGCGCAATAAGGCTCAATTAAATAGTCTAGGCGGGTTCATAGGTCAACAACCAGCCTATCTAGTCTAGTCCGCTCTGCAAGTTCAGCCTTTGGAGCAGCCAAGTGTACTAGTTTATCATTCAGTCGAGGCGGGTCGCGTACCTCAGACTTAAGTACAGCAGTCCATGTTAGGCAACCAACTGTTTAGTGAAGTTAGTTCTAATGGCAACAGCGCAGTTAGCCAATGTTGAGGCAAACATGAAACAGATTCAAGAATCCTTAGAAGAGATAAGAAACTATAATTTCTGAACTCCTAAAATATATGTACAAGAAACACTAGGAAATAATGAATATTTGCTGATGGGATTCATCATGCCACAATTCAAAAAGATATTTTTTAGGAAGGGTGTTTTAAAAGCACATGTCACCACTTACCTACTATCGATACCAACTCTATGTGACAGACCCAATTAGTAAAAAGTGATGTTCTCGCATAGCCTATCGGTAAATACCTTGAAATGGCACTGAGAATTTATGAGGGATAGCCCTGATGCTAGATGAGATGTATCAAAGATTTCAATCAAACTACCAGGGCCACAAACACCGATCTATTTCATTCAAAGAGCTTATGGGGGCGGAAGGATGATGAATTATTACCCAACTTTGTCGGCCAATTCACAAATGCTTCTCGGATCCTTGAGTGCACTCTCTCCAATGATGCACCGATCAACATCCTTCTCCAGAAGCTCACACTCGAGTACAAGTCCTTCTTCAGCTAAAGTAGTGGGCCTTATCCTTCGATTCCATGCTCGAAATGGCTGCAAATTAAGAGAGGATTCAAAAACCTGGAGCATACTATCCCAATACACCATAGGACACACTCAAGCATAGTCATGTCCAAATCATAGTGCAACCTAGAATTCCAAATATCCTCTTTAAGAAACCATGTATCCTAAATATCGCCACCTAGGAAACCAAATATCCTTCAGAATACAAAATTAAAAGGATCAAATATTCTCCAAAACTTCCTAATATTCTTAGATATTCTGAATATTTTCATGTTAGGAAGCCGAATAATCCCAAATCCCAAGATAGGCAGGTCAACCATTTAGAATCTCCCAGTAAGAAAACCAAATGTCCAAATTGGGTAGTTTCAATAACTTGAAAAGGAAAATTCACGCTTCGCTACATGCTAGAAGTGTCCAAATTTGATCAACCACCAACAATGGATTCAGATTGACATTCTGATCAATCCTCTCAAGTTCCGTATTGAGATCTGATAGTGCTATGATATCTGGCATGCAGGGAAGAAGGCCCACAATGGCAAATGCAACATGGGACACATGGCACCTCTATACTGGTTCGAACAACTGCTTTCTTGTTTTAGGGTGTATTTTTCCTATATTAAATCAATTTTCATGTCATTTTAGTAGTCAAAGACCTGAACAGAAAACCTAAGCCTAATTTCTAGTCATGGAAATTCTACAACCCCAACACCCTAACTTAAGTCATTGAATCCCTAATTCAAGGAGCCTATTCCAGCTATTTTTAGAGAAAAAATAACTCATTTTAGTCAACAAAGCCCTAGATATAAAAGTTTCTAGGCATCCCTCTCTTCCCGAGAGTGCAATCAATCATTCAGGATCGTCAATCTAGAAAATCAAAGAGTAAAGATTGCCACTTCACCATCTGATCCGGGCCTAACTCCAGGTACTCTTTCTTTTATTAATTGATATGTTTTACTGCTTTCTTATAGTTATTTTTTTCTGGTTTAGTATATTTGTTCTTCTTATTTTCTTATTTTATCCTCTTTATTTTCATTGGTATTCATTTTAATTCCTTTGATTAGCCTCTTAGAATATTTGTTCATCTTTATTTACCTCGAGTATTGTTTTCTTGCTTTCTTGTTTCTTTAGTAGTTTATTTTCTTGCTCCTCTTTGTTCCACTTTCTCTTCTGTGTTTATTTTGGATTTCGCACTATCCATGCTAGCTAGCCCTCAAAGCTACAAAGAATAGGTCTTTTAAGATAGTTTTCTTTGCAAATCTGAATTTGATGGTGCCCACCTCTCTTGACTCATCTAAGTAACTAAGTGTGCGCACGATCTTAGACATATCAGACTTCCACTAGTCTGGTCGATCTATTATTCGCAGATGTATAACACCTCAAGAAGATCCTTGCCAAGATGAAATTAATGAAATTATAGTGAATGAATGAAAGGCCCAACCCAAGCTTCAATCTCCTTCTAAGATGCTTAGAGACATGGGGGCATGCCTACGGAATTCACTCCCATCAAGGAATCAATGAGTGATGTTCTTGAGTTACTGCTCAAGAACAAATTCCTACATCTTGGATTCCTCCTTTTCCTATTGGAGACAAATCAATTGTTGTGAGTGGCATCACATTATACCCATGACACTGAAGAATGCCTTTCTCTTAGGCATATTGGTCAGGACTTGATCAATAAAAGCATCATAACATTTATAAAGAAGACCAAAGCGAAAGACAAGCATACTTCCGAGCCTAATAAAAAAGAGAGTGTCTTGGCCACCTCATTTTCAGATGGTATTGATGGCACATATAAAAAAGAAGAGGCAAGTCTAGCTTCCCAAATAGTGGTTGAAGTCAGCTTAATTAACACTAATAAGCCAGGAGTGCCCCAGCCTGAAGACCATCCCCTATGGCCATGGGGCACAAGTCGAAACCAACTTGAGAACTAAGATGACCATAAGCAGGAAAATTATATTCGAATTGGATGTTTTGTAGTCCACCATTTTAAAAAGTTATCTATGTTTACATATGAAAATTATCTACGTTTAAAACAAGGTTAGGACCGAG